AGCAGGACGAGCGGAGAAAAGGGGGAGCGGGCAGGCAGGGGAGCGATCGACTGAGAGGAACGAAGGGTGCCATATCTTCAGGTTCTCAGGGGAGGATCAATTGCTGGGTCGAGGACCGGGAAGGTACCCATCGTGGGCAGGAGGACGGAAGATTTCACAACGGCCTACATCAGCCAAGGAAGACCGAAGACCGAACAGGCGGAGTGGGGAGAGGGGAGAAAGTGGATGGTTGAACATTGCCAGGAAGAGCGAGACCCAGCCCTAAGCAGCCACGCAAGAAAAATTCATCAGACACCTGTCCTTTTAGGAAACAGAAAAAAGGACTTCAGACTAGGAGACGGCAGATGGGCTTTGTTCCTTAGGTAATGAAAGCACACACCTGTCCTCATCAGTTTTCTTCCTGCCTTCTCCACAGCCTCGCCTTTCTTCACGAGGTCCTCCTGCATTTCCTCGCCTTTGATGGTCATGTTTGTCGGTCGTCCTAGATGGGCTATCCAATTCGCTGTTGATAGCACGTGATGGACGTTTGCGGGACCGATAAGATTTTCCCGGCGGATCTCCTTCGTTGAATTGGCGCGGAAAGAGACTACTGAATACGCGAAGTTTCTCCTTCCTGCTCACCGTGAGCTTGGCTATGGAGCTCGTCAACCATAGCCGTGATTCTTTGAAATTGCTCGAGTTTTCAACGATGACGGAACGCAGAACCTTCTCAGCATCTTCCAATTGCCGCTCTTCCAGCGAGAGCAGCCGTGAAAGGGCAGAAAAAGAAACCCTGAAAGACGTGTTAGACTTGTCTGTCCGATCCAAGCCTAGGTCTTTCACCACTGGACGGGTGCCACGTGGCGGGCTCGGGAGCACGGGACAAGACTCACGATTCCGCTCCCAATCTCTACCCTCACGCCGACGCCGAAGCCGCTCCGGAACTGAATCCTGTCTCCGAACCTGATCCCGATCCCGATCTTGAGGCTCATCGCCCCGAGCATCAGGTTCTCCTACTGCAGCCATGACGCTCCTGATGACCACTAACTCATCTTGCGCGCAAAAGGGCGTCGATCCCCATAGCCCAAACGACTGTCACTTGCGGAAAACCATGCCCATACCCCAAAACCATAGCCGTTAACTGGAACTCCCAGTAAATGGTGCCCTCACATAAGGCCCAAGCCCGGTCCTCCGGAACGCGCAAGAGCAATCTGGTGCATGCCATCGAACACCATCGGCCCAAAACCATCCGGTAAGGCGAAACCAACTCGCGCCAAGCAAACATCAGCCAACATAAGTTGGTGATGGGCGTCGCTGCACTGCTCAACCCCCCCAGGTTTTGGGGTGAGTTCACAGGCCTAAAGCGCCAGTGCATGGCCCCAGGCAAGTTGAGAGCCCTATTGAGCCTCTCCTAAAATTTCGCAGGCTTCCACACCGTAGATAAAATAAAGCGGCGGCGGGTGGCCTCCGAAAGGGCCCCGTGGCCGATAGCTGTGGTATAGCAGGTTGTTGCGCTGTACCCAGGTCTTGTTGGATGACTGGTGTTATGTGGGTTCTAGAGGGGTTGTGGAAGAGTGGGACAGGTAGCTGTTGGTGTTGAACGGCTGTTGTTCTTCGGACCCCCTGCACTGTAGGACCGGTAGCTCTGGAGAAAAGGTTGTGAAGCTATGGGTTGGGGGGTAGGTTGGGGGGGGTCTGCAGAATTCAAGTTCCAAGTATCCCAACTTTTTTTTCTTTTTTCTTTTTCATGAAACTAAGCTATATTCTTCTCTCGATCTATCTATGTACTCATCGTTCTCATCTATTGCATCCTCTCGCTAGTCTATGTATGTCAACCAACCTGGAGCTCTCCCCAGCCCACGGGGTAGGTTTGCACCACAGGAGTGGTGCAAGAGCAAGGCTGTACCATCCCACGGCTGGCCAGTGCTCAGCACTACACCGCCGATTTCCCGATCGGCAATGCCTGCCCACCCCGCATCACCATGATAAGTATCCCAACTTTGAAAAAGGTTTTGAGGCTATGGGTGGGGGGTTCGGCTGGAGGGGGGTGTGCAGAGGGGGGGGGTGCAGAGGGGGGTGTGGAGATTTCCAAGTATCCCAAGTCCGGCAATTTCGAGTTCTGATTTTTGTCGATGACAAGTTTCAAAAAATCAAGGATGTAGTTCAAGTTCCACTGGACAAGACATGGTAACTCAGTTGGTTAGAGCTATGGCATTGCAACGGGGATTTGCAGGTTTGATTCTCTCTCGCCCCTCAACGTCCTCGCCGCATGATTAGTTGGTGCTAGGTTGGCGTCCTACATACGTGTCCCCCAGCCTACCATAGCACCAATGAGCTGCCGTAACTCACGGGACACATACGGGATCGTTAGGGAGCGGAGCATTGTCTCGTGGGGTGCCTGTATGGGAGTAGGGTGTCTCAGGGAGGTGGGTGTGGGAGCATTGTTCTCCAGCAGCAGCATCATGGAGGACGGCGATGTCCTTGGAGTGAAGAAGTGCAGAGTAGAGGAGTGGGCTACCCTGAATCGCGCGGAGGCAGGTGGGGTTGCGGGGTCTGCACCCATACCAACGCTAGAGGGTGTGGCCCCCTGCCGCGCAGGTGGTAGGGTAGTTCTACCGGGTTAGGCAGTAGTTTGGACGAGGGTGGAGCACTCTGCAAGGACATCATCTCAGGAGGGAGGGAGTGCAAAGTAGGGGCTTGGTCTATTTAGTACCCTGAATTGCGAGAAGGTGGCCCAGTGGTTTTACGGGGTCTACACCTGTATGGAGGGCAGGTTTGGAGTCACCTGGGTGACAGGGTAGTTCTACCAGGTTGGGCAACACAATAGACAACCAATCCTACGACACAGAAGATATGGTACTACAAACACACACTGCACAGACTTGCATTCGACATGCAAACTCACGCAATACAAGTCTAACACTACAAGGGGGTAGCTCCAACTGTAATATACAAATTGATCATACACTACAGACTTACACAGACTATACATGATTATCCAAACCTGCACACATTGATACAAAAAGCAATAAACTGTACTTACAGAATCACAAACCTACACAAATGAACACATAATCACACAAAACATAATTGTCCCAAACAGGAGAAAGTGCTTAGAGCAGAGCGCTCTTATATTAGACCTTGGCCAGATAACTATTAAACACTGCCTGGAATAACTCAAAGCAGGGAACTCTATGCACATACCTCTGTCGAGATGAACACTCTTGGGTTTACTCACGACATTGGTGGTAATAGATAAACACCTAGCTCCCGAGGTACCGATAAGCCAAGGTTTGTGTGGCAATGCCTCAACTAAGGTTGGAGAGGGTTCCTGTTCAGCACAAATACTCATTACTACTGTTTGTTCAAATTGCTCCAGTAGAGAGCGATGGTTCCCATGTGAGGTAATATGATAGAGGGAGGTGGGGATATACCAAGGATATCGAGTCTGAGAGATGAAAGCGTGAGGGATTGAGCCAAAGAGTGAAAAAACAAGGTTTTCCAATAAAAAATATATTAAAAATTATGAAAAAATATTAGCGATAAACTGAGTAGCATTTTAAGCACGCCAACTTTAAAGATTTTTGCTTTAGATTTTCGACAACAAGAACTAAGTCTCAAAAAAATCAAAGATATAGATTAGGTTTCATCGCATTACGTAAAAAATATAAACATAAATAAAAATAATATCGCATATGAATTGCGTTACCAATTGGGCCGCTCGAGTCACCTTGGTCGCCTCAACACCCCGCGTTGGACAAGGGTCAACAAAGGTCTTAAGGATATATATATATATATATATATATATATATAAATCAAACTATGTTGTGCAGAAAAACAAACTGATTAACTTTGTCGCAGGGTCACATTAAAATTATTTGCCAAATTGATTTTTTTTTTTTTTTTTTTTTTTTTTTTTACTTTAGTTAGTTTTTTGCCCACTCGTATGGTCACAAACATTTCGGTCAAAATTAATGCATATTTTGATTGAAGTCGCGCTCAGTCTTGGGCTAGTAGTACCAGTGGAAGAACAAAACTAACAATTTACAAAATAATTGCATTTATTGAGAGGGAGTTAAAGAGTGGACAAGGGGCATATCCCAATTGGTACACCCGTGAACTTATGGGTATATTAAGACTGTCACACTGCAATGTTGTAGTCTGCAGCAACATTCAGTGAAGCTAACTTACACTCTAATGTTATTGAAGATTGATCTTAAACCATCGGTAATTGCAAGACACTTTTCCTCGGGGGCTGAAAATGCTTTGTGCACCAAAAGTAAAACGAGCTGATACATACCTCATTTTGGCTTGCACTGCCAACTCTTTTGTTGAAGAGGCTCCAACCCCGAAATTGCACCAGCATGCATACTGCATATTTTATTATTTGGCTAGGAAATGTGTTGACGTTTTTTTTTTTTTTTTTTTTTTTTTTTTTTTTTTTTTTTTTTTTTTTTTTT